TTATCACTGCTGAAAGCCATTTTAGTGATGTCTGAGACTGCTCAACATAGTTGCTCTTAATATGTTGTCCACAAATGTTAGTTTGGTTCTATTTTAAAAAGTAGAGAACCATATGATTTCACTGATATATGGTATATAAAACTGAAAACAACAAAAGAATAAGAAAAACAAATGAAGAAACAAAACTCATAGACACAGACAACAGTTTAATGGTTACCAAGAGGGTAAGGGGGAAGGGGATGGTAGAAGAGGGTAAAGGGGGTCAAATATACAGTGATGGAAGGATAACTGACTCTGGGTGGTGAACAAACAATGTGATATATAGATGATGTATTACAGAACTGTACACCTGAAATCTATGTAACACTGCTAACAATTGTTACCCCAATAAACTTTAATTAAAAAAAAAATGGGTGGGGGCTGGCCGAGTGGCATGTTGGTTAAGAGCTGGCTTGGGACACCAGCTCTGAGCAGCAGGGCCCCAGTTCGGATCCCACATGAGGGCCAGTGACACTGCGCCCTCTACAGCTAAGATGCTGCAACAGCTCAACCTGGAGCTGGGCTGCCGTGAGTTGCCGACGACGGCGTAGGCTGCAGCCCCTGCTGCAGTGGGCTGCCATAAGCTACCGTGTGTGGCTGGCAGCCAGCGTGAGTGGCTGGCAGCTGCTGTGAGCTGTCAAGAACCGCCGTGAGTGGCCATCCAGAGGCTGGCAACCAATCTGCCTCACCCAGGAAGAGCACAATGATAATACCAACATGGGCCAGTGAAGCGACGTCCTCCACAACTAGACTGAAGAACAAAAGGACAGCAACTTGTCTGTTCCCCTCCCCCAATTCTACAATAAAATCTTAAAAAAAAAAATGGGTAAAAGACCAGACTCTAACCTTGACTAATGCATATTATTGCCCATAAAGGGGGACTGAGAGATTGTGCATAAGTCGCCATAGTTTGGACTATTACCACTACTATAACAGAAAAACTTTTCCTTCTGATGGCCCATCACCGAACCAGGTGCCTGGCATACATTATTGCTCTTAATCCATTTTTTATTCAGTGCAGGAGAGTGCAGTGGTTAAGAACATCAGTGTGGCATCTGACGGCCTGGGTTGAAATGGAGCCTCCCACTCAATCCCTTACTGAGAGCGTGAACGTGTATTAATTTCTCTAAGCCCAATTTTTCATTAAAGTGATAATAATTATAGTGACCACCTTACAGAGTTGTGGTAAGGAATTAAGGTTATACACAGTATTTAGCATGGTGTTTAGCTTATAGTAATTAATCAATGGTAACTGTTACTGTTCTGCTACTTTTAAAAAACTGTGGTTATTATAGCCCTACTTTAAGGATGAAGTACCTCAGGATTAAAGAAACTTAAAAATGTATCCTGGCTTGTCCCTCAGAGCTGCTGGAGCCCAAAGCCCAAGATCCCTTTTACCCACCATGCAAGATCCCTTTTACCCACCTATTTAATTAATGATATCGTTACTGGTTCTTGTATTGATAAATGCGGGTGTGGCTGGTAAAAATCTTATAGGGAAAAATAACGAGGGGAGATCATTTTCTTTTTTGTTTTTCAAAGTTCATTTTTTTTTAAATTGGGGAACACTGTTTTTCCAGGACCCACCAGCTTCAAGTCAAGTAGTTGTTTCAATCTAGTTGTGGAGGGCGCAGCTCAGTGACCCACGGGGAGGATCGAACTGGCAACCTTGGTGTTATGAGCACTGCGCTCTAACCAACTGAGCTAACCGGCCGCCCTGAGTTCACTTTCTTTTATTACAACAATGCCCTTGCTGGCTGCTCTGGGTCAATGTCCGTGAGAGTTGCTCCTGTTAGCTGGTTGGGATGAGAAGAATAAAGAATGAGATTGTGGCCCTCATTCTTTTGACAGAAGACATTTTCTTGGGGCAGCTTAGATACGCCTCATTTTGACTTACCCTTGATGTCTTTCTTCTGTGGATATGTAAGAGAACTTCTTAGACCATATGTAACCCAAATCTAGGTCTACTTTCATTAACTCACATGGCTTGATGCTTGGGGGCGGGGAGGGGATTAAGTGGGGTTGAAAAAGAAGTCAACGTCTAAGATAATATCTCAATTTCTATTCCTTGTTGATGGCATGTCCACGGGTTACACTAGCTTTTATCCTTTCCCATCTGTATAAAAAGCTAAAATTTAAAAGAATGCCAAGGAGGCAGAAATAATTTTTCAACACTGTAGCCATAGTGGACTCACCCTGTCACACGTAAGTTAGTTTGTACAGTCCAATGAAGTAGCAAATTCTAGGTTTGTACCTGTTAGTGGCTGGTTCAAAATGGAGTAACACTCACCAGCACCATCACCGTTGTCTCCGCTTCCTGAGCATTTGCTTACAGTGCCACGCACAGCACTAAGCACGGCTCAGGGGTTACCTCATTTATGCCACAAAGAAGTAACCTGCCCAATTTCACACAGCTAAAAAAGTCAGGATTGGAACTCAGGTTTAACTCTAGAGACAATACTGTGTATTATTTTTAAAGACCTTATAAGACAGCTGACTTTATATTTTGTATCTTTTGTCATTTACCTGATCTATAACCCATCAAAGTTGACACAAGGACTTGTAGGCTTCTGTGAGGGGAAATCTGTCCAACTCGTAACTGAGCCCTTGCCTCCAGCCAAGGGGCTTTGCTTTCCTAAAGTCAAGGAGATGCTGAGGAAAGGCACGGACTGCCGTTAACAGGCTAATCTGATGGGCTTTATTCAAATTCATAATGGCTGCTGAAACAGCTCCACTGACTTTCCAAAGTTAAGATGGTGATGAAAGCAACAGTACCCTGTTTGATTTGCTGAGGGCTCAGCTGCCAATTTACCAGGAACACGATGGATAAATGACTTACTGCTGCCAGGCAAGATGTCTAGCAGTAAACACTCTGAAAAGTGAAGTGTATCTGCGTGTACCTGACCTGGCTTTTGCTGGTTGTGTGACCTTGACTTGGACAAGTCCCTCTCTCAGGCTCAGTTTCTCATGGGCACATGTTGATAACAATACCTGCTGGACTTATGCCACGGGTGTGTGAGGGGGAGAAAATAAGGTACGTGGAAGTGTCAGGTACTACCTAAGAATAACAATGATAAAATGATCTTTAAAATGGAGGGCCGGCCGAGTGGCTCAGTTGGTTAAGAGCTTGCTCAAAGAGTTTAAGCTCTGAGCAACAGTGGTTCGATTCCCGGCCCGAGCTGAGCTGCCAACAGGTGGCAGGATGGCTCAGCTTAAAAAAAATAAAAAAATAAAATAAAAAAAATAAAATGATCTTTAAAATGGAAATAAGAGTTGGGCTTCTGGGCCAGCCAAGTGGCGCGATGGTTAAGAACTGGCTTGGGATGCCAGAGGGCCCTGGTTCAGATCCCACATATGAGGGCCAGTGACACTGCCCTCTACAGCTAAGATGCTGAACAACAGCTCAACCTGGAGCTGGGCTGCCGTGAGTCGCCGGCGATGGCTAGGCTGCAGCCCCTGTGGCAGTGGGTTGCCATGGGCTACCGAGTGTAGCCAGCAGCCAGCGTGAGCGGCCAGCAGCCGCAGTGAGCGGTCATCCAGAAGCCAGCGACTGATCTGCCTCACCCGGGAAGTGCGCAATGATGGTGCCAACATGGGCCAGTGAAGCAACATCCTCCACAACTAGACTGAAGAACAAAAGGACAGCAACTTGTCTGTTCCCCTTCCCCAATTCCCCCAGCACTGTTCCCATCCCCCCAATTCCCCAATAAAAATCTTAAAAAAAAAAAAAAAGAGTTGGGCTTCTGTGTCTTGTTAGCTTGCCGATGTTTAGTTATTAATATCGGAATCTCCATTCTACTTCTTTACATTTTAGAATGGCTGGGGGCTATTTATTAGAGAAAGAATAAAGTTCAGCAGGAAAATGTGAGTGTTGCCATCACTTCTTGTCAGCTCAACTATTTCTTCTAAGTAAGTTTGAAATTGAAAATATTGCAAAAGTATTGGTCATGGATTTGCTGTAGGCCAAATATATTGTATTTTATTATGTGGAAAAAATTAGTGTGTATTATTTTGCAGCCATCCTCAAAAAGGACTGCATCTAGAGGGCAGAGAAAAGATCTCTGAGGGTCTATCTGTAGGTATGGTACCATGGACACTTGGATACTTTTTAAGAACGTTTAAAAGAAAATTTCAAATCAACCAGTCAATCACCATAATCCAAAGAGCCACGGACTGAAGAGCAAAGCCATGGAAGCAGAGGTCACCTCCTGTGCCCAAAGGACCGAGGTCCTAGTTTCTCCAAAGCTGCAGGATGCATACCACCTGCTTTGGCTGTACTCTACGGAAGCCTGATTTACTTACATCGTAAAGTATTTGGAATTATTTTCTGCCCACCAGCCAGGCTGCCAGATCAGCCTACATACTCAGAAACATGTCCTAATCTTATTAAAGAAAACAGAAGGATAAGAGATGCTACAGAAAGTAGCAGACAGCCATAACCTTAAATACTTGCAAAAATGGCTCGCCAAAAAAAAAAAAAAAGAAAATGAGTGCACGAGGAGGGACTCCACGGGCCTCGCTAACTTCTTAGAATAATGCCATGGTTTTGCACGCCCTTACAAAAATGGAGGCTGTCTTTTTCGGGCATCCAACATTTGGTACAAAATAGTATGTCGTAGACTTGATGATTACACAAATACAATTCACAGCTTAAGACTACAGGTTTTTTAAACTGCCAAGATGAGTGTGGTTAATAGACAGTTCACAGTCTATGTAAACTGTCAGAGGATCAGACTCCTCTTAGGCTATGAATTTTTAACACTTTCCAGTGTAGAGGGGGCTTGATTACATGTTTATGGGTTTTAGAACTAAAATGAAATTGTGTAACCCCATTACACACAGATTTCAGTGACCTTACAGGTAATTTGCATCCAAAGGACAGATACAATGGCTGGCTTTGTTTACCTGCGTTTTTCAATAGGACTTGGTTCAACTAAGGCCAAAAATGAGGAAAGGCTTACTTTTTCATGCTTGTGTTTCTCCTTTTCTTTCTCTCTCTTCTCTCTCTCTCTCTTCTCTTTCTCCCGTTCCTTCTCTTTCTTCTCCTTTTCCTTCTCTTTCTCTTTCTTTTTCTTCTTCTCTTTCTTGTCCTTTTTCCTTTCTTTCTCCTTCGGTTTCTCCTTTTCTTCAAACAGCTTGGGTGACAAAGAGGGCAGCATGGCGGGGATCCTCACGGCCGCGGAGGGGCTGAACAAGGGCAGGGCCATGTCCTTGGGTGGCAGGACCAGGGGCGCTGGGGCCACTTTCACCTTGTCCTCCCGCCCCTTATCTTTAACTCTGTCTTTGTCTCGCTTATCTTTGTCTTTTCTGCCCTTTTCTCTATCTTTCTTCTTATCTTTATGCTTCTCTTTCTCTTTCCTCACCAGTCCATCTTTCAATCGCACTTTGGAATCAATATCTTCAAACTCTTTTATTTTAAACTTGTAGGGGTCCGACTCTTCATCTCTCAGGAATTCCTTCCATGGATACTTGGTTTCCTTGCTGGCTTCCTTTTCTTTCTCTTTCACCTTTTCTTTCTCTTTACTTTTGTCCTTGCTTTTGTCTCTTTCCCTGTCCCGATCTCTCTGCTTCTCTTTCTTCTTCATTTTCGTCTTCAGTTCCTTTTTCAACTTCTTCTTGACGTCCGCCGAGGAAGGCAGTTTGGTCTTCTCCTCATACAGCTTGTGCAGAGGTTCGGGTGTGGGCGGAGAGACCGAAGGGGAGGAGAGGTAAGGATAGCTGGGGGGCATGTTGGACGCTGTTCCCATTTTTGCCTTCCGGACAACCTCATCGATGGAGGCATCCATTGTCCAGGAATTGTCAGAACTTGACGTTCCGCCTGAGAGAGGCAGGGGAGTGGACCCTGACTTGGGGAAGCTGTTGGAGGACATGGAAGCTTTTGGAGTCATACATTCCGAACCCGAAATTCGCTTCGGGCTGGTGAAAATGTCCCCTTCTGACTCAGAGCCAGAAGAGAACTCGAAAGGGTCTGGCTCTCTTTCAGCACAAGCTCGTGCAATGACGGCATCGATGGAGGCATCGATGGTTTTGTCGGTCACCACGGCCTTTCTCGGCTGGTTCTCGTTGTTCAGCTTTGCGGCCTCAGGGGGTGTGTGCACGTGTGCTACCTGAAGGGCCTCTTTGCTCGCTTTCTCACTTGCTGCAGCTGAAGGGATCCTGTTTGGCGTCTCGGGTCTGACAGGTGCTGGGGAGACATGGGTCACAACCTTGGGGCTCTTGGGACTTCTGGGGCTCTTAGACCGTCCTGGAGATTTCTTTTCTTTGGACAGAGGTTTCGGTGACCGAATAGGACTTCCAACCATTGCTGGTGACGGAGTAGTTTTCGGCGATTTAGTCTTCTGTCCTGGAGAACTCGTTTTAGTCTTTGTTTTGGGTGCAAATGCCTTTGTTTCTAAGGGCTTTGCGGCTGGCATTTGTGATTTTGCAACCGGAGCTAGCATGGGTGGCTCTGGCGACAGAGGGGCGAGGTCTGTGCTGTCCTGTGCGTGGACCGGGGAGAGCATCGGCGGGATCTTTTGCGGGTTTAATGAGCTGAGTGGCTCTCGAGCTTCCAGTAACACTACATCCAGGCCATCCCCTTTCGTGCTTGGTGGTCGTGGTCGCTTCACGGCAGGCATGTCTTCAGCTTCAGGACTATCCAATGGTCTCTTACCCAAGAAGTTCTCATCATTAATGATTTCCTCCTCCTCCAGTTCATCGTCTTCCTCCAAGGGAACCTGCATGGCTTCTGCTGATGTGCCGCCATCGGTGGGCACCTGCTCTTCTTCTTCTTCTGGTGAAGAAAAAAGAAGTATTATTGAAATACATATATTTTTTAAAAAAACACCCAAAACTAACACATGAAAATAATAATTTCTAGGAAGGAAAAAATGATTTGTAGAAAAGAAAGAAAATTTTTGACAGTGTTTACAGAGTAAAGCGGTACGTTTTCACAGATCTTCCCAAGTCACATGCTGTCATTCTTTGAAGGGTGGCAATCGGTGACAGCAGATAGACAAATGATTGGTTTCCTTTCAAGTGGTTTGGCTCTACTTTCAGGATCTGGAGTTTGCCGAATATTTCTTGTTTGTCATCTGCTCCCTCTCATTGATTCTTTTCCTAACCTGACTGAATACTGTCTTTCTTTTTCCCTCCTCCTCTGTGTACACGTACACATACACACAAACACACACACATAAACACATACACACATGCACACACACTTTAAAAAATCAAGATACTGGTTATTATAAGACTACTATCCTCAGAAATGACAACAAGGCATATAATTTTTAGGACTTTTATAGTAACTTTTGATTCTTGGAGTTTGAAAATGGCAAGCCTTGACACAACTCACATAGCACGCGCGTCTTCCGTTTTGCTTGCTTGATGTCGGGCACTTGGCGAGGCCGTGTGGTGCAGTGGTGTACACGCTGGCTGTGGCATTGGAAAGATGGTGTTTCTGCTAGCTTTCTGGCACTACAGAGCCACAGGCCTCAGGTAATCTCTTAACCTCTTCGAGCCTGTTTCCTGACCTTTCCAAAGGGGCTAATGTTACTTGCCCTGCCTACCTGACTGAGCTGCTGGAAGATTGGATTATTTCTTTCTACACATATTAACTCAGCATATACCATGCATAATGCGCAGTGATAAAGGCTGAAAGAACTGCTGGAATACATGAAAAATAAATCATGACCTAAGACAGCTGGCAGTTTGGCAGGGGACACAATGTATATGTAAATGCATGGAAGTGAGTAGCGCCATCAGACAGCTAAAGTGTTACGGCAGTTCAAAGGAGAAACACGACAGCAATGCCAGCGATCTGGGGAAGATGTTACTAATCATGAAGCGTTTTGGATTTTTGGCGATTGGGAACGATAAAGAACTGGAACAGAGGACAGAGAGATGGAGGTGGAACATAGGAAGTGCGTAAGAACCAGGGAATAATTTGTCTGGAAAGTTGGGTACAAGATGGTGAGAAATAGAAAGTTTAGTAAGTAAGATTGCATTTAGACCCTAGTAGTTTTGAACATGATCTTTAATCTACTCGTGGTTTGGACTCAGTGAAGATTTTTAGACAAGGGAGAAAAATGACTCGGGTATATGTTAGCAGAGTTACTCTGGCAGGGACATATATGATGGATGGGAGGTGACAGATACTAATGGAGAGGTGACAAGTTAGGAGTTACTGAAATGATGTAGGTAAGTGATAATAAGGTATGAACTAGAAGAGTGACAATGACTAGGAAGCAACAGAGGCTGATGGTATTTTGAAGATGGGATGAACAGAATCTGACAAATGGTTAGGTAGAAGCGTGGAGGAAGGATTCAAATACATTTTCAAAGTTTGAGCCCTGGTGAGTGAGAAATGCAGTCATTAACAGAAAAGGAAATAAAGAGATAGAGAAGGAAGATGATTATTGATTAGCTCAATCCCTAGACACAGAGTTTGATGAACGGTTAGTGAGTGGTATCTATCAGGGAGCTGAAAATACACGAACATTCAGAAAACAGGACTGGGTATGTGTGTGAGAGAGATCTTTGTTGACATAAATGAAATCATTATAATGGAGAACATAAGTAAGGGAGAAATAAGGGGTGGCCAGGTTCAGGTACTCTGAGGAATACCTATGTATAAAGACAAGAGGCAGAAGAAGAACTAAAGAAATACATGAAGATCAAGAGACGTCAAAGAGATCAAGGGGGAAGCGTTTTCAAGAGGACTAGTGAGCAAAGTCAAGTGCTTCCGAGGTCCACGAGAATGAAGGCTCACAGCAGCTGTTGCGCTACCAGAGCACTACAGGGTGACTAGGGAATGAGTGACGTAATGTATATGAAAGCACTTTGTGAACTATAAAGAACAAGACAAATTATTGCTGTCACTTGCAACTGTGCTACCATTCATCCAGTTACTCAACACCATACCAGATGACTTCTTTCCCCATATCCAACTGTGAACACAGTTTTCTACTGTGTTTCCCTCAATGCACTTTTCCCACTGCTACTATTAGTTCAAATCGTCAGCACCTCTTCTCTGAGCTACAGCAAAACCCTATGAGTGCTCTCTGCCTCCAGTCCCATCTGCCTCAGAGCGGTCTTGCACACTGCCTTGCAGGGACCTTCTGAGAACACCCATCTGAGGGAGGGATTCTGCATCTTAAAGACGCTTCACTGGTCCCTACAGTACTGGTTGGCAAAAGGTGTTGCTCAGAGCCTGAGGGTTTGTGGAACCCCTATGAGGCTGCTGCCCACTAGAGACTAGATCCTCTATTCTCTATTAAATGGAGGCGTTACCCTGAATGTTATCTACTTTACATGCTGAGCTCCCCAAACAGCTTTTGGTGTGAGGCTAAAACATATTGAAAACCACTGTTCTAAATTATAAACATGCAATTTCCCCAGCATGACCTATAGGAAGCTGCCGTCCAGCTCAGTGATGGGCCTCCCCTTCCGCAGGGAGGCCCTGAGTGCCATACCTGTTCCAGCCACTGAGATTACTGGGTGTCTGCACGGGCCACTAACGAGCTCCCTTTGCCTGGAGTCCTCTGCCCTCCTGCTTGGGTGACTGTCCCTTCTTAGCCTCCAATCAAATGTGCTCTCTTCTGTGACGCTTTCTGTTAGCAGCTAGAAATGTCCCTTTCCCCCTTTTTGGCTCAAATCCTGGTTATACAGGCAACAAAGAAAGCCTAGAATATGTATTACTATCTGACCCTTTCCACTGAAAGTTTGCTTTTTCAGGTAATTTGAACATTTCCTTCTGTCCCTGTCATTAGAAAGACAAGATAAGGGTAAAAGGGATCAAATATATGGAGATGGAAGAACTGACTCTGGGTGGTGAACACACAATGTGATATATAGATGATGTGTTACAGAATTGTACACCTGAAACCTATGTAACTTGACTAACATTGTCACCTCAATAAACTTTAATTAAAAAAAACAAAGACAAGATAAACTTCGAATCTACTCAATTGCTAAAGGGTAAACATACAAAAAGAATGAGGATATTCTCCAAGTGAATGAAACATTTACGAATATGTATTACTGTTATATTTCAAAATTCCAAAGAGCCTGCTGTCCCCCCCTGTCACCCAGAGGTTCATCAAGCCCGGGGGTGCGGGAGCGGGGGGGAAAGGTTTCCACAGGCTGCAGGGCGGACCCAGAATGTGAAGATGGGCCTCGTGGATCTCACTTTGCAGGCTCATCTGAATGAGCTCAGCTCTGAGCCTGGACACACTGGGGACGCAGAGGGAAACCGCTCGAATGGAAGCGGTCCCTAGGATTGGACCCTCAGGACCACCTAGATCCTCTAGGTCAGTGGGTCTCAACCTTCCTAATGCCACGACCCTTTAATACAGTTCCTCATGTTGAGGTGACCTCCAACCATAAAATTATTTTTGTTGCTACTCTATAACTATAATTTTGCTACTGTTATGAATCATAATGTAAATATCTGATATGCAGAATACATTTTCATTGTTACAAATTGAACATAATTAAAGCATAGTGATTAATCACAAAAAATATGTAATTATATATTGTGAAATATTTATTTCTAATTACAAATAAATGAAATTTTGTCTTGAAGCATGCAGATGGATACAGGAGCGGTGTCTTGGTTCCTAAGACCATCGAAAATATGTGTTTTCCGATGGTCTTAGGTGAACCCTGTGAAAGGATTGTTTGACCCCCAAAGGGGTCTCAACCCACAGGTTGAGAACTGCTGCTCTAGGTGGAAGGCCTGTTTTACAGCTAGGACAACTCAAATACCAGAATTTTCTGCACAGTGTATTATTTTACCAGTGTGTGACTGTATCAAATTGGAACTAGCGAGACAATCAACTGATAGGCATGTGAGCTGAAGGAAGTATGCGGGTTAGGTGGGGAGAAACTGCAAATACTTGAGAAAACAGGCTGGTTCGCTTGGAATATAGAGCTAAAGCACCTCAGAAAATTATAAAAAAAAATTAATGGTGGTAATTCTTGTTTAAGTGAAAAAAAAATTTTAAAAATTAAAGCTTGATTCAAAGTGGGTCTCCACAAGCTCGGAGGGGTTATTCTGTTTTTATTTTGACTCCTTTCTTTTTTCTTTTTGGTTTTATTTCAAGTCCCTGCTGCTAACTTGTATGTATCTAGAAGCTTTACATGGTTTAGAAGAATATGAATAAATTATAAAACTAAACTATTACAAATTCTGCTTTTAGGAATACTTAAAAATACAAATGCTTCTTATTTTTATTAGTTTAACTTACAATTACTTTTTATGTTTTAAAGATTTTATAAGAAAGCTTCAATTGCAGCATCAAAATTAATCAAAATGAGAAAAGAATTTCCCTGGAAGAGCCTTAAACTTTAATAAGAACAGGAAAAGTATGAAGATATTTACAACAATTTTCTGAATTAGAATATCTGATACATACCAGAGAGCACAAGCAATATACACGGTAGGCAGAAAGATTCATAATAATGAATAAATACCTGTGACACTGCCACCTAACTTCAGAAACAGAATATTAGCAATGTCATTGAAACTCCCTTGGTTCCTCTCTGCCCCCAGGTAACGACTGTCTTGATTTTTGTATCTATCATTCCCTTGTTCCTTTACAGTTTTACCACATTTGTATCTAGCTTGCTTCTTTTCTGAACTTTATGTAAGTGGTATCATACTATGACTTTAAAAAAATTTTTTCCCTCAACATCTTTCTAAGAGTCACTTGTGTTGTAGTTTGTTTGTCCGTCCGTCCATCCATCCATCCACCCATCCATCCATCCATTTTCACTGGTGTAAAATTG